TTTTAAGTGCAGCCAATAATTTGGTGACAACACTAACTATGGAGCAAATGATTAAAATCTCGAAGCAATTTCAACAAAAGTAATTGTCTTTAAACTTGTCTTCAATTTGCTTGTTATTGTCTCTCCCACGACCAAAGATATTAAAATTTTATATTTTTATCTCTGTTCAGAAAAGCTGATTGACATATTGTTTGTCTTGAGAAAGCTTTTACGATCTATATGAAAACTTCTACGATAAATTTAGATAAGTCATTCTTTTTCAGTATCTTCAGCATAGTTCGAAGAGAACTTCCTTATTCTTAAGAAGTCCAAAGCTTGTACAAACAAAGAGATATTGATGTTTCTTTTCCTTACATTGTTTTTTCATCTCTCTATAAAATGTGTAAAACAACAGCCATAATGCCACATTTGGAGAATGCAAAACATTTGAAAGTACAAACCCTAGCCATGATAGTTGAATTAGAATATTAGAAAACAATAAACCGATTTTAAAAGCCTGATTCATGGAAACAGATTCTTCAACTATAGGATAGAATTAACATGCATCATTCTAACAATTGTCATGTTGATATTGTATAGATAGTGAGAACGATGTAACATTCAAAGTTACCAATAGATATTTGGCTACAAATGGTTGAAAAGATTGATTCTAACTTCAATTTAATGTAAGGTTTATCTCACCAACTCGATCCTCCTTGTTGCCACCTTGTTGATGTACAAGGTGCTTCTCTTTCGCTTTTCAGTTTGACAATCAGCAGTGGGTAAGACCAGACTCTCCACATATGTGGCTCATCTAAAATGATAGATATATGTGGGAAGAAATATTATTAGGGCTTACACCGCCAGTAGAGTTGTAGAGCCCATGGATATGAAAAAATATTGGTTTTAACTGTTATATCATGTCAACAGTATCACATGGTGTAATTATCCATTAATATGTAGACAAATCAGCCAATGAACCTCACTCATACTCATAACTACTAGGTCATGTTATATATAATCACCTTCATGATATAACCGTTGCACCCAATATTTACTCCATGGATACATACTGCAAAACTCGTCGGGTTGTTTGATTCGGACTCGGTTACCAAATCCTTTCCAAGTTGGAAACTCTAAAAGTTGGGCAAATCCTTTCCAAGTTNAACTAGGTCATGTTATATATAATCACCTTCATGATATAACCGTTGCACCCAATATTTACTCCATGAATACATACTGCAAAACTCGTCGGGTTGTTTGATTCGGACTCGCTTACCAAATCCTTTCCAAGTTGGAAACTCTAAAAGTTGGGCAAATCCTTTCCAAGTTGGAAACTCTAAAAGTTGGGCAAAGTACACGGAAGCCCCCTTAAGGTTGACAAAAAATAAATTCCTCCCCTTCAAGATTTTTAAATCTTAACAATAAATTTCCTTTCGACTTTGAAAATTTATAACCATCAAACTCGATCAACTAGTTTAATGACATTAAACATAAATTTATACACTTCTTTTCCAAATTTTCTGCACTACTGCCCAAGTAACCCAACACTTTATTGTTTCGTAAACCACCAGAAAACCCCCAATAACCCGAATCCTATCCCAAATTTGGCNGCTGAATCATCTGTACTATCAGCATTGTCTTTGTTGGTTATATAATAAACTCCTCCCCAAGCATTTGCAAAGCCTGATTTGCTAAGTGATGTGACAAAGCTCCATTTCAACTCTCTATAGCAAGAACCCAAATTTTCTATCTAACAACAACCCATTTGTGATACTGTATGCCTCTATAACTCAGACCTATTTCTTCCTCTTAAAGTTGTTAACCACAATTTTGAACAAACCCATACCAAGAAGCTGAATTTGTTGAAACCCCCAATTCTCTCTCCTTCCTCCTCTCCCTCTCCAGTATTCTGCAAAAAACACAATAACCAACAAACATGTGATCCATCTTGACAATCCCTCTAATGACTTCCTGTCCTTTATCATCTCAGAAATCACTGGCCAAAGAACTTGCTGGGAAAGGACTAACAATTTTGGAAAACAACATTTTTGACATATTCTCCAATAAGAATAACGTATGAGTCGATGCCGATGTTGATGTGGATGCCCTTTTCACTACACCACAGAACCATACCCCAACAGACTCTGTATTCAACTTTCTTTTCTCCCCCAAAAAAAACAAATTTGAGTATATAGACGTGATAGTTTTAAATTCGTATCTAGCAAAGTAAATTGACGATTTGAGATATGAGGTAGTATGCTGCTGAAGAGAGGATTACAACTTGGTGAGTCAAAATGAGAACACACGCCTATTTATAGGGATTTGGCCATGTAATACGGTTATTATATTTCCTAGTGAATTACGCATCTAGGCTATTTCTAAAATCTTTTATACAATTATTTAATAATTTACTATATACAAGAACATTTAATGCCTCTTAAAGATTTCTTTTTACCTCCCTAGTCTCTTCTAGGATATTCCTTCAAATAAGCTTAAGAACAAAGGACCTGATTTTAGGATTCCCTAAAACCTTCTAGAAGGCAGAAAGTATTAATCAATTTGTTCAATTATCAATTTGGTGTAATCTAAATAGTATTCTAGATATATTACTTCTAGTCATATTGTATACTTATTCGCTTAATTTTTCATATTATTTCTTGCCATATTATATAATTATTCACTTAATTTTTTTTTTCTAGTAGATTTTGGAGCAAAGATCGTGATTGTAATATTTGACAAATTAGAGATAATTTAACTTTTTTAACATGTAAATAGGGAGATGTATTTGTATTTAGAGATTCAATTATGAATTTAATTTTTATTAAAATAATTACAGCTCTAATCATGTATGAGAAGATATTTTGTAGAATTTTGTCAATTAATTTATCAAATATCGCATCCAAAAAATTGGGGGCGTTAAAACCGCATTTGCCGTCCTAGATTGTTGCTCGGCCACAACCTCAAATGGGCTTTGCTTAGTAGCCTTACTCCGTTCAAACCATTGGAAAACTTGGGTACATCAAGGAGTCTTGCCTAATAAAGTTGATTGACACTTACGGAATGCCTCAAGTAAAGCTCCAGCAATGCATTAACATGCTCGATCTGCCCATCCATGTGGGGGTGAAGCTTGTTGATAAGTTTAGGTTTGACCCAAGTAGTTTGAACTTAGAGCTCCTTCCAAAACCTCTCGGTGAAATGCGGATCTTGATCAATGACTATATTTTATGGAACACCCCAAAGTTTCACAACATGCTTCAGAAATAGTCTAGGTGCCTCTTCAGCCGTGCAATCTGTGTCTGTCACCACAGGGATGAAAGTAGTGTACTTACTAAATGTATGCCACCAAGATAATGTTCCCACATCCATCTGACTTGGGTAATGCTACAATGAAGTCCATGGAAACAAACAAAAGCTCCTATGATTTTCCCTTTTAACTTTCTGTTAATCTCGTTTATTAATATCATTACTTCTAATTTTCAAACTCGATCCTATTTTCCTCTGTATTATCTATTTATTATTGTTAAAATGTATTTTAGCTCGATAGTTGTGGCTTAGAGTATCTTTTTTTCCATTTTTGTAGGTTTTAAGTGCAGCCAATAATTTGGTGACAACACTAACTATGGAGCAAATGATTAAAATCTCGAAGCAATTTCAACAAAAGTAATTGTCTTTAAACTTGTCTTCAATTTGCTTGTTATTGTCTCTCCCACGACCAAAGATATTAAAATTTTATATTTTTATCTCTGTTCAGAAAAGCTGATTGACATATTGTTTGTCTTGAGAAAGCTTTTACGATCTATATGAAAACTTCTACGATAAATTTAGATAAGTCATTCTTTTTCAGTATCTTCAGCATAGTTCGAAGAGAACTTCCTTATTCTTAAGAAGTCCAAAGCTTGTACAAACAAAGAGATATTGATGTTTCTTTTCCTTACATTGTTTTTTCATCTCTCTATAAAATGTGTAAAACAACAGCCATAATGCCACATTTGGAGAATGCAAAACATTTGAAAGTACAAACCCTAGCCATGATAGTTGAATTAGAATATTAGAAAACAATAAACCGATTTTAAAAGCCTGATTCATGGAAACAGATTCTTCAACTATAGGATAGAATTAACATGCATCATTCTAACAATTGTCATGTTGATATTGTATAGATAGTGAGAACGATGTAACATTCAAAGTTACCAATAGATATTTGGCTACAAATGGTTGAAAAGATTGATTCTAACTTCAATTTAATGTAAGGTTTATCTCACCAACTCGATCCTCCTTGTTGCCACCTTGTTGATGTACAAGGTGCTTCTCTTTCGCTTTTCAGTTTGACAATCAGCAGTGGGTAAGACCAGACTCTCCACATATGTGGCTCATCTAAAATGATAGATATATGTGGGAAGAAATATTATTAGGGCTTACACCGCCAGTAGAGTTGTAGAGCCCATGGATATGAAAAAATATTGGTTTTAACTGTTATATCATGTCAACAGTATCACATGGTGTAATTATCCATTAATATGTAGACAAATCAGCCAATGAACCTCACTCATACTCATAACTACTAGGTCATGTTATATATAATCACCTTCATGATATAACCGTTGCACCCAATATTTACTCCATGGATACATACTGCAAAACTCGTCGGGTTGTTTGATTCGGACTCGGTTACCAAATCCTTTCCAAGTTGGAAACTCTAAAAGTTGGGCAAAGTACACGGAAGCCCCCTTAAGGTTGACAAAAAATAAATTCCTCCCCTTCAAGATTTTTAAATCTTAACAATAAATTTCCTTTCGACTTTGAAAATTTATAACCATCAAACTCGATCAACTAGTTTAATGACATTAAACATAAATTTATACACTTCTTTTCCAAATTTTCTGCACTACTGCCCAAGTAACCCAACACTTTATTGTTTCGTAAACCACCAGAAAACCCCCAATAACCCGAATCCTATCCCAACTTTGGCCTTAAATGTCAACCTAAACGTGCAAATAACTCATCAATTTTCAGTTCTAAGTTCAAATTATGATTTGTTCCACAACAATAATGCAAACAAATAACAACATAATTTATGAACTTTACAATATGATACACAAACTCACTACCCCCTCCTGTATGGGGGATTCGACAACCAGAAAACCTAAACAATGCCCAAAAACAAGGGTACAACTTCAAAACTCTGCACTAACAACTAACCTCTCTTTCTATGCTGCATATTGTCAATGTAACTCGCAGAACAATTGTACAAAAGGCGAGATGACCTCACCAGATAAACCGGACGACCTATTCGTGGAAGGATGGAGAAAATAACTGTGTTGCCAATAAGGACCAGTGTCTGCAGTTTCCTTTGGGAGTCAAAATCCAAAGCCTCATACCCAAAGTTTCTTGAATGGTTAAGCACCGTGTATAGAATCCACACATAAATATTCTGTATAACGGCAGTATTTCACTGCCGAAGTAGACAACTAGCTTCCAAAAGTCGCCATAAATAAGTAAATATTAGATGCTGGCGATGTCCGAGTACTATAAACACTAGCATCTCATAATTTGTCATTAATCCAAACAGCTTCTGGTCACAGTTTCTTTGGTAAGTTATAGGTTCTTTTAAGAAATTTTGTGGCCTGCTCATCATTCCGATAACACAAAACTCGCAAGATCGTGTTTGGCTCTTTTGGATTCCACTGACCTGAAGTTGGAGGCAATGGGAGCCTCGACTTAGCTGAGACGCCATAGCTGTTCAGAGTTCCATTTTTTAATTCCTCAATAAGGCTCCCAGTATCAGTATGGAAAAGGGGAAGGACAACCTTCACAGGGGTTGAAAGCTTATCTATCAAATCGGCTGGCAATCCATCACCATTGGACCAGAACAGATCCATAAGAAACTTAAAATCCTCATCTATCATTGCAGAGTCTTGAAGAGTAAAAGCACGGGAAGGGCCTCCAGCAAGCAAAACTAACAAGAACCCATCAAAAGAAGCTTTCATTATGTCAGTAATTAATCGTGTCCCTACTCTCTCATGTACAGTCGCTGATATACTCTCTAAATTTTGCTCAAGTTCCTGAAGGAAAGGTTCAATCCTCGAAGATGAAACTTCACCAACATATAGGCCATCCCAAAGAACATGACTTAGATCATGAAATATGACCTTATATGCAGTTGTCTGACAGAGCTGCTGGATCCCTTCCACACAAGCACCTGATGAAAACTCAAACTTTTTTCCCAGGCCGTTTACAATATCATCAACAAGAGTGGATCCAGTATTCCTCAAATGGGTGATTGTCCTCTTTTCTAGAACTTCCAACTCTTTTCGGATGTGATGCAAAGTATTAATGCGGACACATAGGTGTGGTATACCAATGAAATTATCCCCATCCAGAGCCTCAACCTGAGGTTTTCTCCTCTGAACTGTAAGATACTTATCTTTCTTCTTAAATACACCAAACTTTGATGCAGTTGTACATCTGGTCAAAGCAGGCAAAGTTGGAATGAAAGTATTTCGGGATCCTGCATACAACAAAAGCAATATATGGTTACAAGGAGCATAATCACTTGAGATTTGCACCGATCTTTTAGAGTCTATGTAATATTTACCGCAGCCAGATTTTGCCTTCAATATGTAATTTTGAAGGCATTTATCAAGACCACTCATCAAATCAGGAAGCAGAACTGGATGCATGGGTATTGGCAACAAGAAGAATGCTTCCAAAGTTTCGTCCATGATTCGTAGGACCTCCACAGCAGAGGGAGCAAATCGCTCTTTGTTTGCTCGAGGGTTCCAGACCTATAAAGAATACATGGCAAGGCTAGATCATATGAATCTGCTTAATAATAAGTTTCATGTTTGCAAGTGGAAAATACAAATTTTATACTGGTTCCTTGGAAATTGTTTGATTGGTATTCATATGCATAAGTAAACATAAGCACAAGCTGGTGTGAAAATACAAATCAGACTGTATTTTGCTTTCTTCTTCAGAACTTTCTCATGCTTCACCTTTTCACATGGACAAGGAGAGAATTATTGCATAAAAGCAATGGAATCGACTGAATAGCTAAAGAAGCCGCATCCTTTTCATATGACAAAGAGCACTGTGTGCAGAGACCACTCAATATAAAATGGGAACCTGTTAGGTTACAAATAACAACAATAACTCATATTGGAACCAAGATATAGATCAGCAGGTCCATGACTTGATCCTGATGCCAGTCTACCTGATCCATTTCAAGTAAAACCATCCAAAGTCCTAGCCCAATAATTCCAAACTGAAACTCATCTCACGAGGAAATCAACAAACAGAAGAAAAAAGGGAAGGAGGGAATTACCTCTTGTTGCAGATTTCTGTCAACCCATTCCTTAAGCCTGTCTACTCTAGTCCTAATCCACAATTTCACCAGATTCCCAATTACACTTTCAGCCTCATAAGGAGTCATCTCCTGAATTATTGCTTTCCCACCATCCTCGCTATCCACCGCATCTTCAACTGCCATCTTCACAAGATCCTTTTCCATCTTGTCAGCAGCTATCAACACTTGTATAGCATCGGGAGTCAACTCACTGATGCCTGAAACAAATTGCTTCAGCTCGTTGCCGTAGCAAGCATGAAGGGTGGCTACAGCTACACCCGTTGCCATTGGGTGCCATCTTTTCAGGATTGGACTATATATTTCCTTCTCATTAAAAGCCATGTCAGTAATATCTTGTGCGAGGACAGAGAGAGCAGGAAGAGGATTTTGTTTATTTTTTGATAACCGCCTGCTTGTGTTTAGCTTCTCCCTTACCTATCTTAAGATAGAACAAAAGGAGATAAAGTCAGACTTAATGACATAAGAAATGGAAACGAACTCAGTAAGGATACGAGTTATCAGAAAAAAGCAGAAAGGAGCTCAATATTGGGTTCGGCAGAAAGTTCTACATTGCTCAAATCCATCATCCTCCAGATCCTATGTCATAACCAAACATTCAACAACTAAACGAAGCGTGGACACTTTAAGGATGTGGAAGAAGTGAGGTAATTTCTGGGTACCAGTGAGAATGACAGACCAGACAAACTTAAACAAGATCAAAGAATGGATCAAAGTCCACAAAAGACAATTTCAACCAGGAGGGATTTAATGGTTCTTGAACACCAATGCAAACAGTGGATGGGTTTGAGGACATAAAGGGATGGGAATCATCTGAATGTGCTTGAATACATAGGGAAGGAGAACTTGTCACTGTGATTTGACCGCTGCATCTGTAAAATATAACCTCAAATCGCTATTTTTTTGGCATGAATGTCAAAACTAGGGACAACCTCAACAGTCTAGATTGACTAGTTAAAAGAAACAGTATACAATCTTCAATTCAGGACCATTCAGGATGGAAAGCCTCCATTCCTTTGTGTAATGCCTTTATTTTGTCTTTTTTTTTTTTGTAAAGGAGATCAAGTAAAAATATGAAAACTTGCCTGAGCATAAGCATTGCGCACTGAAGACCTGATATAAGTGTCAACTCTGTCACATGCTACATCCACTTCATTCCTCTTCCTACGATACTCAGAAGAGATCTCTTCTACTAATATTTTGGCTGCTGATACTCCGAGGGATAATACATTTTGCATTATATCAATGTTACCCCTGTAAAAAGAACCGTGGTAAGCAAGAAGCCCTCTTTCTGCCCAACCCAATATTGAGCTCAATGTAGAACTCAAGATCTTGGAGTAAGCAGGATCCTTTGTTGCCTTCGCATCCTTTTGGACATCCATCAAGAGATTATCAGCAGCAAAGAGCAGGTCAGTTTCAATTTGGCCAGTAGCAACATAACGATGGAATAAAACCCATGAAAAACAAAGATTATGCAACATCTGGTTGATTCCAAGAATTACCCAAGTCTTCTTCATGAGTTCTAATACCTCATCAACCTCTTCAATAACAGATGTTTCTTCATTTATATCAAAACAAGCTTCTAGAAGCACTTGGTAGAGTCGGAGGTTCAGTGGAATACCATCAGCCCAATGGCATGTCTGCGATACAGACCCATCAAATGATCGGCAAGCAAGCGACATTACAACACTCCGAAGAGCTTGCATGGATTCACTGTGCTTTCCGGACTCCATCGGCCTGTCTGAGGCCAAGTCAATAATCTGTCGAAGCTGTTGAGAAGCAGTGCCTGCCTTATCCAAAGGTAAGTGAGGATGCAGTAGTAATCCAGCTTCGAGTATCTTCAAATTTCTCTTTTGCCATGCTTCAAATTCTTGCTGACTAGAAAAATCTGAAGACTTGAACTGCTGTAATAGTTCCAGTGGTAAAACCATCGACTCCATTCGTCTTCCAAGCTGATAACATAGCAAAGTAGAAGCCCAAAAATCAAATCTTCCCATAAATCTTTTTTCACTGTGGGAGTCGTCAAACAGACATACATGCAAAATCTTTGTCATGTCTTTTTAATTTATTCCTTTGCATCTTATTCACTCATTCTTTTATGCCAGTTTCTAATACAAATTGTTCCAATTTATTCAACTATGCCTTAGTAGAAAATCAAAATAACATGACAGAATGAGTGAGTAAGATTAAAAAAAAGAAAGAAAGAAATTTAACCCACATACCCACATATATTCCACAATCGTGTATCAAAATTAAATTTAGAGTCAGAAACAAGAAACGAATCAGAAATGGAAAGTATTTATAAATACACAAAGCATCAGTACAGAGTGAAAAGAAGAATTTTTAGCATACTACATGTTATAATTATAGCCAAAAAAAGGGAAAATACATTCGATTACCGAGAAAATCCAGGGAAAGGGGAAAAATCGAATTTTGAATCATTACTGACCAGAATTGAGCTAAATTTCATCTTGCATGATGAAAAACAAGATACTGTAACCAAAATTTAGTTTTCTATTCCCCCCCCCCCCCTTTATCGGCAACCAAACAGTATCAAAACCCCAAATTGTCCCAAAAAAAACCAAATATAAATCAAGGAAAACAAGAATAAAAAAACCAGCAGATCAAATACACACAAACACACACACAATTGTGTGTTTTACCTGTCCAGCCGCGACTCTCAATAGTGCTCTTCGGACCCTCGAATCAGTCTGCTCCGAAACCCTCATCTGAATCCTAATCAGCTCACCAATCGTCACAGCTCTCTTCGCCTTCCCCACAGAGGACACCGCGTTTTGATTCACTGATTCCAAATCTTTCTTCTTTGATTTCAACCCCAAGGCCTTCTTCACCTTGCTCGCAGCCGTCGACGTCAGCGACCTTTGCAACGACGGCCCTGAAGATGACGCCATGGACGCCGACCTGTCCAAGCTCTTCTCGGAGTTAGAGATGTAAGTCAAGGGCTTGCCGGCTACGGAGCTCCGGCAAGCTCCGATTAGGATCTCGTAGGCGGTTTCTCGGAGCTCCGAGTCCGTGAGATCTAGACCCAAGTCGCCGAACGGGTTGGGAAGGTCATCATCTTCAATGGAAGTTTTAGTACTATTGGGGACGGTGGTGGTGGTGTTGAGCACCATGATTCTGTGTTGGGTCGTAGATTGCGTTAACGTTGTTGTGTTCCTGAAGGCTTAAGACACGGAATACATACGTGTGAGAGATAGAGAGACTAAAAAAAGAGAAGAATCTATGGGTTTTGTGGTGTGACGTCTTGATGGGTGTGTTGCTTTTACCTTTGGAGAGAGAGAGAGAGAGACAGGTGGTGGCGGGTTGGTGATGAGTTATATTCTTGCTTGACCTTTAAGGAATGATTGTGTTTTGAAGCTGGGCACTGTGTGTGTGTGAGAGAGAGAGAGAGAGAGAGAGAGAGAGAGAGAGAAGTGTTGATGGGAGTGTGGAGTTCGGAAACGAGAGTTGAAACTTGAAAAGAGCAATTAGGTGGAGTTTGATTAATTCGACGCAAAGATTGGGAAGAGAGACGCAATGTCACCACGAAGCACCTGTGAAACAAATGCAAGCTTTAACGAGAAAAAAATAACATTCACATCCTCAAGGATTAATAAAATGATAGAAGGAACTCTCGTGGTTTCCTAAATTATATTACAAATTTGAGACATTTGTTATCTTAGCTTTGATTCTTATTCTCTTGTATCTCTGCGTCCAAATATAGGTTATTTCTTAACTCTTACTTGAGCAACCCAAAACCTACGCTAATCACTCATTTTCTTCTTCCCTAAGTTTTTCTCTTCACTATCACACTCAGAGATGTGCATGGATATGTACAATTCACATTTCTATATATCTAAATATACATACACTTAGATGATTCCTAAATATAATCCAAAAAAAAGGGAGAAATTGATGGGTTGGATGGAGAGTTAGTCGCAAGGTGGGGGCTGTTGAAGAGAAGAATTTAATTAGTTTAATGATGATTAGAGGGAAGAAATTGCATGGGTGTTTTATAGGGTCATAAGGTAAGAGATGGAAACTTTAACTAGTTAATGTGGTTAGAGAGTGAAAAAAGAGATATGAAAAGGTACCTGATGTTGAGATGTGTGGTGGTGGTGGTGATGGTGATAATGATAATGATGGTGCTTTTGGTGTGTCTTCTTTCAAGAAAATATGAAGGTTATAGTACTATGGTGATTTATATTTGTGTCTTGGTAATCCAAGCAACAAATGGATGGCGACGGTGACTCAATTGCGGGTTAGAGTCTTTTAAGTTGAGCTTGAACGGAATTTGGATTAATCTTAGATTAGATATAAGCGTTGTTGTCTGTGTTTCTTGATCATAGGCTAATAGAACCAGATTTTATGGGTCTCTCTAATTGTAGACTAATAAGGAGAGTACCCATATAAAAACCTAAACTCATGAGCATACTGTAATCTTAGCAACTATATAGGTATCTTATACAATTTCAATAAATCCTAAGGGGTGAATATAATTTTTATCTCCTTTACTTTGAAATGGTGTGTTTTTCGGGTGGCACGTTTGCTTGTGGAAGTTAATCTGTTAATGTACGAAGTTTTAATAGTGGGACCCGTTTCCCCTATTTGCGCCCTAATTGTTACTTCTCTTTCCGGTTTTTATTACCCCTATTGGGTTGGATTTCTCTCTCTCCAACCGAGGTTGGCAACGCGGTGGCATTTTTTTCACGGTGAGATTTATTCTAATATATTTTATTTTTTAAAATTATTTATTATATTTAAGTAACTTGAAAACTCTACCAGAGTGTATAAGATAGAAATTGAGTGAGAAAAAATAAGTATACCAGTGACGTGAACTTTCGATGATTGTTTTTTCACGTGCGTTAACTTTCTTTAAATTCTTCAATTTTCAATTAAACTGAGGTCCTAAGCTAAATTTCACATTCTTTTTGTTGATTTGGTATTAACCCATGGACTAGCCCAGACCTAATCAGGATCTGAGATCGTTAGAATTATTCTTCATATTATTATTAGATGGTATCATTTTTAAATTTAAAAAACACTAAATCTTAATCAAAACCGTGCAAAAATGGCCACATGATTTCCGCCCCTACAACTTTTTAATCCAAATGACTATGACGTCATGATCATATCCAACTTACGCCGATTGTCACGCCTCATGACAAACAAAAAAAGCCAAGATAGTCAATTCACTTGAATGTAAAATGCCAAATTTAATCTGCAGTAAATCGGTTTGTATGCTTAGCATTTGGTATTTGTCCTCTGCTAAAAAGACTATTACCTGAGGTGATGCTGAAAAAGTTTAATAATATAATACCACAAGCATCATAATCGATATATACCCTAGTGTATAATTAATGTCGGTCACATAAATGGGTCTAATTGTGATATGGAAAAATTATTTTTCAGTGTTTCTTAACTCCATTTTTCTTGGTATAGTAAAAAAAAGTTATTACAAGAATTAAGGTCTTTTACGACAAGTTTTTTACGACAGTAATATTCACTGTCATAAAAATTCGTGTTTTGAATTTTTTTTAGTGNTTTTTTTTTTTGTAAAGGAGATCAAGTAAAAATATGAAAACTTGCCTGAGCATAAGCATTGCGCACTGAAGACCTGATATAAGTGTCAACTCTGTCACATGCTACATCCACTTCATTCCTCTTCCTACGATACTCAGAAGAGATCTCTTCTACTAATATTTTGGCTGCTGATACTCCGAGGGATAATACATTTTGCATTATATCAATGTTACCCCTGTAAAAAGAACCGTGGTAAGCAAGAAGCCCTCTTTCTGCCCAACCCAATATTGAGCTCAATGTAGAACTCAAGATCTTGGAGTAAGCAGGATCCTTTGTTGCCTTCGCATCCTTTTGGACATCCATCAAGAGATTATCAGCAGCAAAGAGCAGGTCAGTTTCAATTTGGCCAGTAGCAACATAACGATGGAATAAAACCCATGAAAAACAAAGATTATGCAACATCTGGTTGATTCCAAGAATTACCCAAGTCTTCTTCATGAGTTCTAATACCTCATCAACCTCTTCAATAACAGATGTTTCTTCATTTATATCAAAACAAGCTTCTAGAAGCACTTGGTAGAGTCGGAGGTTCAGTGGAATACCATCAGCCCAATGGCATGTCTGCGATACAGACCCATCAAATGATCGGCAAGCAAGCGACATTACAACACTCCGAAGAGCTTGCATGGATTCACTGTGCTTTCCGGACTCCATCGGCCTGTCTGAGGCCAAGTCAATAATCTGTCGAAGCTGTTGAGAAGCAGTGCCTGCCTTATCCAAAGGTAAGTGAGGATGCAGTAGTAATCCAGCTTCGAGTATCTTCAAATTTCTCTTTTGCCATGCTTCAAATTCTTGCTGACTAGAAAAATCTGAAGACTTGAACTGCTGTAATAGTTCCAGTGGTAAAACCATCGACTCCATTCGTCTTCCAAGCTGATAACATAGCAAAGTAGAAGCCCAAAAATCAAATCTTCCCATAAATCTTTTTTCACTGTGGGAGTCGTCAAACAGACATACATGCAAAATCTTTGTCATGTCTTTTTAATTTATTCCTTTGCATCTTATTCACTCATTCTTTTATGCCAGTTTCTAATACAAATTGTTCCAATTTATTCAACTATGCCTTAGTAGAAAATCAAAATAACATGACAGAATGAGTGAGTAAGATTAAAAAAAAGAAAGAAAGAAATTTAACCCACATACCCACATATATTCCACAATCGTGTATCAAAATTAAATTTAGAGTCAGAAACAAGAAACGAATCAGAAATGGAAAGTATTTATAAATACACAAAGCATCAGTACAGAGTGAAAAGAAGAATTTTTAGCATACTACATGTTATAATTATAGCCAAAAAAAGGGAAAATACATTCGATTACCGAGAAAATCCAGGGAAAGGGGAAAAATCGAATTTTGAATCATTACTGACCAGAATTGAGCTAAATTTCATCTTGCATGATGAAAAACAAGATACTGTAACCAAAATTTAGTTTTCTATTCCCCCCCCCCCCCTTTTATCGGCAACCAAACAGTATCAAAACCCCAAATTGTCCCAAAAAAAACCAAATATAAATCAAGGAAAACAAGAATAAAAAAACCAGCAGATCAAATACACACAAACACACACACAATTGTGTGTTTTACCTGTCCAGCCGCGACTCTCAATAGTGCTCTTCGGACCCTCGAATCAGTCTGCTCCGAAACCCTCATCTGAATCCTAATCAGCTCACCAATCGTCACAGCTCTCTTCGCCTTCCCCACAGAGGACACCGCGTTTTGATTCACTGATTCCAAATCTTTCTTCTTTGATTTCAACCCCAAGGCCTTCTTCACCTTGCTCGCAGCCGTCGACGTCAGCGACCTTTGCAACGACGGCCCTGAAGATGACGCCATGGACGCCGACCTGTCCAAGCTCTTCTCGGAGTTAGAGATGTAAGTCAAGGGCTTGCCGGCTACGGAGCTCCGGCAAGCTCCGATTAGGATCTCGTAGGCGGTTTCTCGGAGCTCCGAGTCCGTGAGATCTAGACCCAAGTCGCCGAACGGGTTGGGAAGGTCATCATCTTCAATGGAAGTTTTAGTACTATTGGGGACGGTGGTGGTGGTGTTGAGCACCATGATTCTGTGTTGGGTCGTAGATTGCGTTAACGTTGTTGTGTTCCTGAAGGCTTAAGACACGGAATACATACGTGTGAGAGATAGAGAGACTAAAAAAAGAGAAGAATCTATGGGTTTTGTGGTGTGACGTCTTGATGGGTGTGTTGCTTTTACCTTTGGAGAGAGAGAGAGAGAGACAGGTGGTGGCGGGTTGGTGATGAGTTATATTCTTGCTTGACCTTTAAGGAATGATTGTGTTTTGAAGCTGGGCACTGTGTGTGTGTGAGAGAGAGAGAGAGAGGTGTTGATGGGAGTGTGGACTTCGGAAACGAGAGTTGAAACTTGAAAAGAGCAATTAGGTGGAGTTTGATTAATTCGACGCAAAGATTGGGAAGAGAGACGCAATGTCACCACGAAGCACCTGTGAAACAAATGCAAGCTTTAACGAGAAAAAAATAACATTCACATCCTCAAGGATTAATAAAATGATAGAAGGAACTCTCGTGGTTTCCTAAATTATATTACAAATTTGAGACATTTGTTATCTTAGCTTTGATTCTTATTCTCTTGTATCTCTGCGTCCAAATATAGGTTATTTCTTAACTCTTACTTGAGCAACCCAAAACCTACGCTAATCACTCATTTTCTTCTTCCCTAAGTTTTTCTCTTCACTATCACACTCAGAGATGTGCATGGATATGTACAATTCACATTTCTATATATCTAAATATACATACACTTAGATGATTCCTAAATATAATCCAAAAAAAAGGGAGAAAT